TATTATTTTATTAATTCTTATTTTATTGTTTTTAAATTCTGCAGATCGCCTCATAGAAGGATTCAGAGGTTAGAATTTTTTTCGACTATGATTTCCCTGTTTAAATTGTTGAGGTAAATCCATTAAAATTTCACGTTCTTTTCCATGCTGGTGTTGCATATTCCTAAACATAAAAAAGGATTCGATCCATGAATGACTGTGATATATTTTTCATGGTGTAGTCAAAATCATATTTATGTAGATATATTCCTTTATCTTTTTCTTTTAATTTTTTTTTTTTAATTTAATGCACGTTGTTAATTGAAGTTTATGTATCTCGCTTTTGTTAGAGCTATATAAAAATAAATTTGTAATTGGTTGAAGAAGAAGGATTGTATCTCGCATGATTGTATCAATGAATGTTCATCAGTTGTCTCTATTTTGTAATCTAAATCCCGATTATTGCACAAGAGTGGCAAAGGCTAATTCAACAAACATTGAATCTTGAGTCTCTGTGTTTGTGTTTCCACATAATTAACTTAAGTTGAGTTATTGGCTTATTGTTTTTACAAGAATTTATAAAATAAAAACTTGTTATAGTGAAATAATTATAAAAGGGATTTTAATATTTTATTATCAAAATGATGGAATGTCAATTAAGAGAAATAATTATTTTTATAAGAATTTATAATAGCAAAAACATTATAAAGTGTAAAGTAATTATAATAACATGCATTAATTAAAAAAAAAAAAATTATACAATGAATTGTATAATAAAAATGTGAGATGGAGGTAACAATAAAAGCAAGACTCTTTTCAACGTCAACGTGTCTTAAGATAGGTCAAACATGGTATTTTTAATGGTTAATTAAACATTATAAGTATGCAACTCTCTAATGCTCTTTCTGTTAGGGTGCATGCTAATTCTTTATTATCCCATCGACATGTTTTCTAATTGTAATTTTTAGGGGTGCAAATGAGTCAAGCTATTCGCGAGCTACTCGGGATCGGCTCGTCAAAAGCTCGATTCGAAACTGATTTTAAATGAGTCCGAGCCGAGTTCGAGCTTAATATTAAGCTTGTTTATTAAACGAGCTGGAGCTCAAGTCTATGTCACTAAGCTCGGTTAGGCTCGTGAGCCTGAACGAGCCTTTATATAATATAATTTATTATTATTTTCACATATTAAAATAAAAACATATCTGGGAAATTAGGGATTTATGTATTATTAAACGAGCTTCTTAACGAGCTCGAGCCGAACTTAAGCTCATTAGGCACGTCAGACGAAAACGAGTCGAGCTTGAGCTCGATCCGAGCTTTTATAATTCTTTACGAGCTCGATTCGAGCTCGGTACAAGAAAGCTCGAATCGAGCCTCGTATAACTTAAACGAGCCCGAGCCGAGCCTGACCAGGCTCGGGCTCGGATCGGATCGTTTACACCCCTAGTGATTTTGATGTGAAGGTTTGGAAATGGTTTTTGTTGGTGATTTTAGTATTATCAGATATTTTGTGTAACGAGAACTAATATGTGAGCTAAGGGAGTTTATAATATATGTTATATATTATATGTTCGGTGGGTGCGGAATGAACTCGGTATTCTTTTAGTAAATTGGCATGCGTTTCTGTGCTTAGATTCGTAAGTGTCCATTTTGATTATCCTATACCAGATTTATTGTAAGCCGGACATAAGGTAAAAATATTAGTTCGAGAATTAAACCTAAGCAGCCCACAGAGGAATTTGGATTAATTTCCACTCTAAATCCTTCTAAACCCTAACGATTTTGTGCTTGGTTGAGGCTTAAAGGTGTTGCCCCTATGTGCTTTTTCTTCATTGATTTCGTTTGTATTTGATATGAAGGCTGACAAAAGGAGATGTAAAATCTTTCTTTCTTTAGCTTATGTGGTATTGTGGTCTTCATGAAAAGCTAGGAATGATGTCATTTTCAAAAGGCGTAGTTGCAACCCAATAGAATCGGGGATGATATTCAACTTTTGTCTTTCAATATTGGATTAATTATAGAGTTAAATTTTCGAGGTTATGTTGGTTTGATTGGTGTATTACTCATATTATATTATATTATATTATATTATATTATATTATGTAATTTTTTAGCACCTTGCTAGTTTTAAGCTATTGCCACCATTCAAGAAAAAAAAAAAGCCAAAAATGCTAAAAATGATATACATATCATGTAAAACTGCACATAACAATTTATTTGAATATCATTTTTCACATTAAAAGAATACTTTAACTATATTTTTTCTAACTTATAAAGAATCTTTAAATACAATATATCTTTTATATTAGTTCCTTTTAGTATATTCTATGTTAATTACCTCTTTAAAAAAAAGACCTTCTCAGCATCTCCCTAAAAAGAGATATAGCCATATAGGTACCATAGTGTTAGAAATCATGATCGTTACCATATCCTTAAGGGCCACTTCCTCTTTTCAGTAACATTATTCATGTTAGGACTCCTTATGAAAAAATGGTGTATTCGGGAACTATCCCATATTTATATGGAGATTTGGCAAACGGCCATGAACGTTGTTCTCCAGGTCCATCATATTTGTTGTACGATTCATTACCGCGATCAGATTTCACAACCTTAATAGTTTTGTCTAAATCCTAACTCATTTTCAGCTCCGGTCTTACAAGAGTTAAACAAGTCTCATGCCTTAGAATCTTAGATTTCTCATTTATCAAATAGAGATAACCATATATTAAGAGAAGTCATCCATCAAGGAGAGAAAATATCGTTGATCATTCAATATTAAATCAATACCCATGTGTGTTATAACTTTTGCCAAATAGTTGTCCTACTTTGGAGCGATTAATATTTGCATGAAATTATTCCACAAGCAACTTATGAATTCAATAAGAAAAATTGTCTATGGTAGAGGCCAATGTGGTGACATTTCTATATCGATGAATCAACTAAGAATAACAAATTTCAAATGAGATAGTTTCATCTTAAAATAAACCCACAAATTTTAACAACATATACATATACGGTGCATTGATGGGTCTCTTTGCCCTTTATGCAAATCATCAGGTTCTAACATTTTTAAAAGTTTAGAAATGATGTCTTACATTCTATACCAAAATTGTCCCGGATACCACTCGTTATAAGCAGAATTCAAATACATACATACATATATATATATATATATATATATATATATATATATATATATATATATATATATATATATATATATATATATATATATATATATATATATATATATATTCAAGTTTGCGTTCGTTCTATAAAGTCCTTTTAGTCTTTTGTGTGCTAAAGAATCCCAGTTTCAATCTCTTCTATAAAAATATTGACCCTTATTTGATATTCATATTGTACTTTAAAAATCTATCCATTCATAACTAAAATTTATCTATTATTTGGATAACATTGTTACCATTGGCTAGAATTATTCGTAGCAAAATGATGTATTTTTCGGTTGTGATGAACATGACTATGCTCATTTTGGCTTTCGATTAAAATCGAAAATGAACCAAAATGTTTTCTTTTTGAATTGTCTTAAAATAATAGTCTACTTCATAAAATAATAAATAAATTTGTTTTACCAAAATATCTCTCATTATTATTTAACCACCAAAAACATTTTATGATAGATTTAAATGCAAGAAAAATCACTTTTTTTTTTACTTTCGTGTTTTTCTCAAAAAATTGAATGTTTATTTGTTTGTTTGTTTTTTTGGAAAATGACTCTGTAACGCACCAAACTTTTGCCATTTGGAAAATTTAGTAACTAAGTTTTTTTTTTTTTTTTTTTTTTTTTTTTTTTTTTTCAATTAAGTCACTAAAAAGTCGGGTTTTACTTGTCAATAACACCATTTTTTCAAAAATTAAACGGTTTCCCGGTTTTGTTCTTACGTGGCTAAGTGATGTATCAAAAACCCCTTACGTGGACTTCCTACGTGGCACCCGACAATTTATATGCTCAATTACACTATTAATTAAAACCCCGATTTGAGCCTCATTCATTTCTTTCTTACCCGTTCGTGAAAAGTCGAAGCAAGCACCCTCCTATACATAAGCAAATTGTTCGATTCTTCAACACAATGTCTGCGAGCTTGTCCAATGCAAGAAATCGCCTCCAAGTTGCTCGCGTGTTTGTTCAAGACGGTGTTATCAACCGCATCTTTTTTATCTCTCCCGTAATTTTTTTATAAGTATTTCACATTTACGATGAAATTTATGAAGATTGAGCCGCGACTTTTTATTTTGTGCAAAGGAATCCTGTCTAATTTACTAATTCGGGGGAAGATACTGAACTTTTGTATTTGAAAAATGTTTCAGGAGGAATCTCTGAGGTAGATGTCGGTTGATAAAGGAATCCTTGATCATAATTTCCAGTATGAATACTATGCCCAACCTGAAACTTGTGATTGGTAGTAAAACAACGATTCTCTTGCTGAGACATAGTTCTATCTGGATAGATTTCTCGAGATATTTTCTTACGAAGTTTTGTTATAGCATCTATAATTGCTTCTGGTTTAGGTGGACAGCCCGGCAAATATACACCCACAGGAATTAGCTTATCGACTCCACGAACAATACTATAAGAATCGGTACTGAACATCCTCCCTGTAATTGTACATGCTCCCATAGCAATAACATATTTTGGTTCAGGCATTTGCTCGTATAATCGCACTAAGGAAGGGGCCATTTTCATTGTTACTGTTCCGGCTGTTAAAATAAGGTCCGCTTGTCTAGGACCCTCCTATACATAAGCAAATTGTTCGATTCTTCAACACAATGTCTGCGAGCTTGTCCAATGCAAGAAATCGCCTCCAAGTTGCTCGCGTGTTTGTTCAAGACGGTGTTATCAACCGCATCTTTTTTATCTCTCCCGTATTTTTTTATAAGTATTTCACATTTACGATGAAATTTATGAAGATTGAGCCGCGACTTTTTATTCTGTGCAAAGGAATCCTGTCTAATTTACTAATTCGGGGGAAGATACTGAACTTTTGTATTTGAAAAATGTTTCAGGAGGAATCTCTGAGGTAGATGTCGGTTGATAAAGGAATCCTTGATCATAATTTCCAGTATGAATACTATGCCCAACCTGAAACTTGTGATTGGTAGTAAAACAACGATTCTCTTACTGAGACATAGTTCTATCTGGATAGATTTCTCGAGATATTTTCTTACGAAGTTTTGTTATAGCATCTATAATTGCTTCTGGTTTAGGTGGACAGCCCGGCAAATATACACCCACAGGAATTAGCTTATCGACTCCACGAACAATACTATAAGAATCGGTACTGAACATCCTCCCTGTAATTGTACATGCTCCCATAGCAATAACATATTTTGGTTCAGGCATTTGCTCGTATAATCTCACTAAGGAAGGGGCCATTTTCATTGTTACTGTTCCGGCTGTTAAAATAAGGTCCGCTTGTCTAGGACTCGACCTTGGTACTAGTCCATAACGATCAAAGTCGAATCGTGAGCCTATTAGTGAAGCAAATTCAATGAAGCAACAACTGGTACCATAGAGAAGCGGCCATAGCTTGATTTGTTAATGCAAGATTTTTTAGGGTTTCACTATCAAAAACCCTTACATTACGAATTGATTATATTGGTTTGTTGTTGTGATTTCATTTCTGAACGTACATGTATGATCGTGATTGTTTAAATGGTGTTGTAGAGTTTATCATTTTTTATTTCGTGGTTTGTTAAATTGCATTTGGTGATTAATGATTACGTTTTGATGTTGTATTCATGTGGGTTTGATACAGAAAAGACTGAGGAAATGTTAGATATGATCAAGGGGGCTCAGGTTGAGGGGGTGAAGAAGGAGAACTAGAAAACAGAGAAAATTTGGGGACACTATCCTTTGTTTGTCAAGGATAGTCGCGGCCTTTTGACTCAGTGTGGCCGAGTGTGGGTACCAACCCGGGGGGGGGGGGGTGAGTGAGGCAGAAGCTACTAGAGGAGGCACACAAGTCCAAGTTCTCTATACACCCAGGAGCTACGAAAATGTATAGGGACTTGAGGCTGAGTTATTATGGGCCCTACATGAAGCGGGAAATCGCTTGGTTTGTGGAGTGGTGCTTGACCTGCAGGAAGGTCAAGGCCAATCATCAGCGGCCTCATGGCAAGGTTCAACCACTACCCATTCCCATGTGGAAGTGGGAAGAGATCACCATGGACTTCATCACAAAGTTGCCTAGGACGGCAAGGGGAGTGGACGCTATATGGGTGATCGTGGACAGACTAACAAAGAGTGCCCACTTTATTCCGATTTCCGAGGGTATATCCGCGGAGAAGTTGGCATACATTTATGCACACGATGTGCGGGCTAGACACGGGGTGACCATGTTTGTAGTCTCCGACAGGGATGTCCAGTTCACTTCCAGGTTTTGGAACAAGTTTCATGAGGAACTAGGCACTCAACTACATTTCAGTACGACATATCACCCTCAGACGATGGTCAGAGTAAGAGGACGATCCAGACGCTGGAGGACATGATTCGAGCATGCGTATTGGATTTTGGAGGGAGTTGGGATACATACCTCCCACTGGCAAAATTTTTGTACAATAACAGTTATCATGCTAGTATTGACCGGGCTCCATTCGAGATGTTATATGGACAGAGGTGCAGGACCCCGGTGTGTTGGGATGAGGTTGGGCATCGGGCCATGGGGAGCATCGAGGTAGTGCTAAAGACTACCGAATTGATTCAGCATGTGCACGACTGGTTGCGAGTCGCATAGAGCCGCCAGAAGAGTTATGCTGACCGGCGGCGATCAGACCTCGAGTTCCAGGTAGGGGATTTTGCACTGCTGAAAGTGTCGCTCTAGAAAGGAATTATCAGATTCCGACAGAGAGGCAAGTTGGGGCCTCGGTTTATAGGCCCTTTCAGGATCTCCGTCCCAGTGGGCAAGGTGGCGTATCATTTAGAGCTGCGAAAGGAGCTTAGTCAAATTCACAATACCTTCCATGTGTCTCAACTTCGGAAGTGTGTTACGGACGAGTCCGCTGTCGTTTCCTTAGATGATATTTGGGTGGATGGGAGCCTAAATTATATGGAGAGGTCGGTCACCATATTAGACTGGAAGACGAAGGGTCTTCGAAACAAGGAGGTGAAATTGGTAAAGGTGCAATGGCAGCACCGAAAGGGGTCCGAATGGACCTGGGAACCAGAGGAAGAAATATGGGAGCATTACCCCAATTTGCTTGCAGCTACGGACTTCAGGGACGAAGTCTAGTCCAAGTGGGGGAGAGTTGTAATACCCAACTCAAGTATGACTTTATAGCCCTTGAAGTATCTTGATTTTGGCATAAGAGACCCTTAAGTACACTGGGCGTACTTATGGGTACGCTTAGAGTACTTGGTGAGAAGGAACGCAGAGGAGCAGCACGTACGTTGGGCATACCAGGAGTACGCTAGGCGTATGTACCAGCATGTTCAAACCCTAAAAACCGGACTTGAGACCTATATAAACATCCTTAACTCCTTTAAACCTCACCCTTATCTGCCTCCTTTATCTTCATACACCCTGAAAAACCCTAATATCATTTGTGAGTGTAGTTTGAGCTTCAAGAGTGCATTTGTAGTTCTCTTAGTGGTCATCCAAGAAGAAGAAGTTGGCAAGAGAGTTGGAGTGTCACTTGGCTTCAAGAATTTGCTTCTTGTCGACTTTGAGGAGCTCCTGGAGGTATAAAGCTTGTACCTTTCCATTTCAATCACTAGATCTAGCTAGGGTTTTTAGTCTTGTCCCTTTAGTTGACTTTGGCCCCTTTTCTTGTGAGTAAGTAACTCCAAAGGATGGAGATGACAGATCTGAGGCCCCTTAGTCCTTTCCCAACATAAAAATGGAGTCTTGGTGGGAGTTTTGACCTCATGCATGGGTTAAGAGCTTCAAAATGGTCTTAATGAGGGTGTTGGGATCATTTGGGACATGAAAAGGCATAAAGTTGCCAACTTTATGCCTTAGGTCATCTAAATAGGCCTAGATCTAATATCTAGACGTATAATAATCAAGCATTAAGCACTTCATGTAAAAGTGCTTAACCTGTTAGTACGTTGGGCGTAGATCTGAATACGTCACGCGTAAGTCCCCGAGCCCTAGTACGTCGCGTGTACCAGGGTGGTACGCTGAGCGTACGTGTCACAAATGGGATTGGGCCTGTTTTGGGCTTTTGGAGCTATTGGGCCTCACTTGGTTATTGGACTTGGTTGCATTCTGTGAATTATGGGCTATTACATCTATTTTGGGCCTTCGGTATATTGGTTGGGCTTTAATGGGCCAAGAGGCCCATTAATGAGATTGAACTTAGACTTTGTGCCCATTAGTTAGGGAAGGATAAATGGGCCTCATGAAGGGGTTGAAGTTCGGGTTTCTTTTGACTACGTAAGATCTTGACTTTAATTTATTGTTATCTTTCAACACGGGAGGTTTCAAACTGTTAGGAGAGCGGTGTTTGTATTTCAGCAGTCATAGGTGAGTCTCCTCACCATACCAATAGATCTAAGGCACCAAGGCCAGCCCATTATGTGATTATGATATATATGTGAGATATTTTGTGTTTGATATGCTATGTGATTGTGTGTTTTGTATGAAAGACCATGGGAGAGCCCATGACACTTGGATGTAAGACCATGAGGAGAGCCCATGGATTTCATATCAAAGACCATGGGAGAGCCCATGGCACTTAGGTGTAAGACCCTAGGGACGAGCCCATGGCATCCTGGAGTAAGACCCTGGGGATGAGCCTATGGAATCCTGGAGTAAGACCCTGGGGATGAGCCCGCAACATCCTTATCTGTGTATGCATGGTTTACGTGATATGTGTGTAGCTTTATTTAGCTAACAGGATGTGAGTATGTGTGGTGTGGGGTATGCTCTGGGGAACTCACTAAGCATTTCTCTTAAATGTTGTTGTTTTGTTTCAAGTACATCTGAGCCCAAGGACAACGGCAATGCGTGATGGTCAGGTGTGCATTCTATCTCTCTCTCTCTCTCTCTCTCTCTCACTGATCGGAATTGGGGACACTCTGATGATTTGAATAAGTTGTAATGAATTGATGATTTGAAAACAATTACGTTGGGATTTCATGGTTTACATAATTATGTTTTATTAATTAAAAGTGCAACATTTTCTTTAAAATTTGGGTCGTTACATGCAAAATATATAAATATCCATCACCTTTTCTTATACCTAAACACATTAAAAAACAACATACTTCAATTAACTTAAAATGGCAACATACTATCATAGCTGCCAAAAATTTCACAAAACCATAACACCCTACCCTAATCAATTATAAGACTATCATAGTTGCCCAAAACTTTCACAAAAACAAAGTGAAAATTACCATCATCAATCATAGTTGCCAAAAACTTTCACAAAAAACAAAGTGAAAATTACCATCATCCTAATAGACTTACATTAAATCCATATTACACAAACATAAAGTGAAATACACAAACCATAACACCCTAACCTAATCAATTATAAGAGCTTTTCCCTTGGAATTTTTTGGATCATCAACACCACGAACTATCTTTCCTAATTTGAACTTCAATATTCTCTCAGACTTCTTCTCACTATCCCCTTCAAAATATTTGAAATTGGTCTAACTTGCTGCACTTGCACATTATGAACCTCAACATCTTCCTCAACCACAACATTAACTAGACCCTGACCATCTTCAACCATACTATTAGCTTGACCTTGACCACCTTCAACATTTTCAACCTCAACATTAGCTTAACCCCGACCACCTTCAACATTTTCAACCTCAACACTAGATCAACACATAACTTACTCAGGAAAGGATCATTTGATGTTCTATTCATAATAACTACATCCTCATCAAATTCCACATCCACATTCCTGAGTTCACATATATTATCCTCATTTTCACCATCAATACAAGACTCGTGATCATCATCATTAAACCACCCATCTACTCCCACTCCAACATTATCAATATAAACATAAATTATACCATCGGTTCCATAAGCATCAAATATTAAAGCAGTGAATTCCACATAATCTAAAATGGGATTAAGCCCATCCATCAAGAAAAGGCATGGTTCACAGTAGTACATCTTTTTACACTTCTCATGCATGAAACATTTGAAGAAAGTGACACACTCAATGCTTTGATTCTTCATCTCAAACAGTCCATTAGGGTCCGGTTGTTCCATTCCACCGAATGCTTTGATTCTTCATCTTAACCACAAATATCCTTGAAAAACACTAGCTCAGTTTCGTGTTTTGGTGATAAATGAAGAACATAGGTCGATAGGTGCAAGTGAGTTTAAGTATCGAGTCTTATATCATGAATTGGCGTGGTAAATCCTACGGGTAATATGCTTACTACATAAACTAACTATTAAATCAAAGTTATTTACACCTAGACAAAGTCAACTAGGAAACCGTTTAAAATCAGGGAAAATGAATTAATGAATAGGTAAAACCCAACTTTAGTGACTTAATTGACCAAAAAAACTTTAGTAACCAAATTGGCCAAATGGCAAAAGTTTCATGCGCTATAGTGTCATTTTCCTTTTTTTTTTCTATATCACAAAATACACTTACATCTCTTGAGGACATCATAAAAGTTAAACAGTAACCTCATTACAGACCCTACGTCCTTACAGCTCAAAAGGTAAACTCTTTTCTTTTATGTATACAAAAACACCATGACTTTGAATTTTTTTAACCGTATATTTTGTTTACACCTTGCCAACATTTCTCTAAACACTTAATGTTTGTTTGTTTTACTTTATGCATCAAAAAAATATAACACTTACAAAGACACCATAACAAAAATAAAAGTACTTAATTCCATTGTTTTTTCATAACAAAAATAAAAGTGGTTACTTCCATTAAAAAAACAAACATATATCAAATTGTAACTTCCTCAAAATTCATGAAAATTTTAAACTTTTTAAACCAACCTGAAATCATATTCATTTACAAGATAGTCTCCAAAATATGTTTAATATCAAAGTTTTGCCAAAATCATAACACAAAACACGAGGAGGTGCACGATCAAGCCTTCACCTTACCATGAACATCTACGATACCTGAAACATAACCCAAACCTGTAAGCCCAAGCTTAGTGAGTTTCCCCAAAAATACCACCACACAAAACAAGGCATAAACACAAACACTCATTCTTGACCCAATCGGCCTCGGGTTGGAATACCAGGCATGTCCACGATGGGTCTAGTCATCCTCGGGATGGAATACCCTTATATCATAAGTATATTGGCCCAATCCGCCTCAGGATGGAATACCAATATGTATGGTCCAATCAACCATTGGGTTGGAAAACCTAGGGTTTCTCGGATAGACTAAAGCCCAGTGGGGCGTACCAGTCAGGCCGAAGGCCTGGAGAATGTTCCAGATAGGCTGAAGGCCTGAGATGATGTACCCGTCATGTTGTAGGTTTTGTGAGCGTACCAGATGGACTGTACGAACGAAGGCTTGGGACCTCAAGATATATTTTGTATTTGATTTTTTTAGCCTTAAATTCGTAAAAAGGATGAAGTCGCCACCCTTATACCCCTTACCTTCAACCGCCGTCACCTCTGCTAGTGAAGTCGGAAACCACCGAACAATCGCCATTACAAATCCGACAATTGGATTGAAGGTCGTGGTTGTTGTTTCCATTTTCTCCATCACCATTCCTTCATTCCTCTGAGTCGCCACTCGTCTCGCTATCGTTATCACCGTTGGGTTGCGTCGTCTCCGATATTTGGTGTCGTTGTGCCATTGTTATTAAAGATGAAGGCCACTGTTGGAATGGAAGAAACACGCTGGTGTCAACCACTGTTACTGCTCTCAGTGAAGAATCGTGTCTCCCCTCCATTTTTTTGTTGTTACGTGCCGCAGCCGCCCCAGCGGTTATTCCGATGCTGCCATGTTGTCCAAGCGCGACATGTCGCCACGAGGGTGACTGAATATTGGTTGTGTGATACCGTGTTGTGTGTGTCTTCATGTGTATGGGTGCGTATTCTAGTGCAAGTCGTGTGTATATGTGTTTGCTTGGCCGAAAATCAAGAGAGCATCCACCACCACCACCGTGAGGTGGTGGTTGTCATCTCCGACCATCGCCTGCCACCATGTGGGTGACTGTGTTGTGTGTGTGCGTGTTTCAGTGTGTATTTGTTGTATGGGTGGATGGACCGACGAGAAGAACCACCATGGCAGCTAACCTTGCTACCACCTTCTGCCGCCACCAACCACCATCTTGGGCGGATGTGTGCATTATTTAATGTGTGCATATGTGCTTTTATGCATTAAATGAAGTATTGGGTGCTTGTTTTTGGATTTTGACTCAAAAACCACCACCACCACCATCGTGAGGTGGTGGCTGTCGCCATTGACAACCACCGACCACCACTTCCCGAGGTGGCAGTAGGTGGTGCCCGATTTATTATATATATATATATATATATATATATATATATATATATATATATATATATATATATATTTAAATAATTCACTAATAATCTAGCTTAAGGAATTAGAAACCCTAATTAGGGTTTAGAAAACCCTAATGTCAAGAAACCCTAGTTTTTGGAGTTGGTCGGGACCCGCGTTAAAACTATTAATTAAACTTAAAATAATACTTAATAATTCTTTGCAATTAAATTGATGCAATATTGAACTTAATGGACTAAGTCCTTAATGGGTTAAGTGTGAAACACTAACCCTAGTTATCATTTTGTGAAAACCCTATAATTAGGGAGCTCTAATTGGACAATGACCGGGCTGGTATTTGGTTTGTCGATTGGATTATTATTTCACCCGAGAGCGACTAAGTCAAACCTTAATCATTCACACCCTTAAGTGATTAAGTCCTTAATGGATTAGGTTTTTTTACTTAACCTTAATCGTCATTTTATTTGAAACCCTAATCGTCATTTCATGTGAGGTGGTCACTGCTGCAAGTGACTATGACCTGTGATCGGGTATTGACTCAAGCATCTTCCTGTAGGTGATTGGAAGTGAGTTGAAGATGATAGAGTCCTTCATTGCTATGGTGGTTATCTACGCGCCTATCGAGGTGAGTTTCGCCTCACTGTACCCGTGCGTCGAAGGCACCAATACATGCCCACTAGTTTTGGTAATATGCTAGTAGAGGGATGCCCTAGGGACTATATATAGCCATGTAGGATGGACTGAGGACTCTTGATCTAATCTATTTTACTTGTTTCTTGTTTAGTTGTGGTTCTAGAGTAGGATCACCTGTCCGGGTGATTATCTCACCTCTGAGTATATACAGCCATGCATTCGATGGATTGTTGATATTTAGTATGTTGCTATGCTATAGTGATATGTTAGATCTGTCTCTTAGTATTGAGTATGTTGCTTTGTGGTAATAATCTGTAGACCTGTATGTTATATGTGCTTGTTGGTTATCATTTATGAAGTGCCCTTTAGGACTGTCGGTGCTCATGTAGGATAGCCTGGGAACTTTTGGGCTAGGTTGTCTTACTTGTTCCTTGTTTTGTTGTGGCTTTAGAGTTGGACCATCTGTTCGGGTGGCTATCTCACCTAGAGTTATTTATGGTTACGCATTCTATGGGGTTAGCTGGTAGTGTGATTGTATGTTATGAGAGGATTTGCAGGCAGTAATGAGTTGTATGATTGTTGTTTGCCTCTATTATGTGCCTACTTGATCCTGATTGTTTATATGTCAACATATTGTATTTGTTTGGGTTGAGGTAGTCCTGCTTTGTGCGGTAGGCCAAGATACCCGGTGCGGGTCGACTTTAAGTCGTAGGCACGGAGGCTCAAGAGGAGCGGTAGGGTTGAAGAGGTAGGCCAACAAACCCTGGGTATTCCAACCCGATGGTTGATTGGACCCGACATATTGGTATTCCAGCCCAAGGCTGATTGGGCCAATATGCTTATGATACGAGGGTATTCCATCCCGAGGATGACTAGAACCGTCGTGGACATGCCTGGTATTCCAACCCAAGGCTGATTGGGCCATGCATGAGTGTTTGTGTTTATGCCTTTTTGTGGTGGTATTTTGGAGGAAACTCAATAAGCTTGGGCTTACAGTTTTGGGTTATGTTGCAGGTACCTCATATGATCGTGGGAAGGTGAAGGCTTGATACCTTCTCGTGTTTTGTGTTATGATTTTGGAAAAAATCGTATACTAAACATATTTGGAAACTCTGTTGTAAATGAATATGATTTCTAGTTGGTTTAAAAAGTTTAAAATTTTCATGAATTTTGAGGATGTTACAAGTTGGTATCAGAGCTTTGGTTTGAGTGAATTAGAGGAACACTCGTGAGAATCCAGTCTTAAACTAAGGAAAAAGATTTTAAAAAAAATTTCAACTACTTTTCAAAATAATCAAAGAGGATGAGATATGTACGGTCAGTCAGAGCCAGTAAGTAGACCCCAAATTACCACACAGTTATTTGAGATTAGATTATGTTATATTAGAATAGCATGCTAGTGATAGGATATGGATCCTCAGAGATCGTATGATAGAATTGCCTGATATTTGATGCCTTATCTCTAGTAGAATACCTTATTGATTATTGTATGACTCTTTTGTGTGTGAACTAACTATTGAGTGAATGATCTAAGTCACATACTACATGGGTTAAATGGTCTTAGGGTTGGGGATTTGGTCCTGATGCACAACTCTTGTTTGAGTCCAACCATTGTAGGATTGGATCTTTTAGACTAAGATTGTTTAAGTTGTGTGGTATGTGATAGTGTTCATGCGATAGTTATTTGGCACCAATAGAGGGTCGTGTGGCAGTTGATGGTAGGATGAGTTATGTTGGGTCAGTCGGCTAGTCACGATATGGGTAGCTTTCCTCTAGGAAGTGAGGACAAAGTGCATGAGTATGCTAGAGTGTAGTATATTATTAGGGTTGTTGTGAGGATCCTCTGAGACAACTACGGGTAGGTATGGAAGGTAGTATGGGCCTGTACTACTGAAAGCATAGGACCCGTATGCGTAACAGTGAAATCACAACCCATAGGGATTTGTTGGGAGTTGGTTCCTCTGTAATGATATGCTATTTATCTGATATCTCTCGGGTTTATTCTCAGTATGGCGATTACAAGTCGATTTGAGGCTGGATAAGGATCAGGATTAGGAGTAGATGGCCAGGATGGGCCAACATAGATTGAGGACCATGTCACGGAGATCATTCGTAA